TATCAAAGGATGGCCGGAAATCAGTCAACCAGGAGTGGAGGAATAGGGTTTCAATGAAATATTGATACTTGTAGTTATGCCAACTTGTTCTTGACATCACTTTATAGAACTAGATCTATCTTTCTCCTCTACCATATTTCTAGTAAAACAAAAACACACCTCTTAGAGTACAGGTCTCGATGTAATCAAACATTAGAAAATGAGAACAATTAGAGAAAGAACAACATTGCCATTGTAATTACCTCTTACAGTCTTTCCTCTTTCTTGTTTTATGTGTAATGTGTATAGCAACAACAATACAAATAAACAAAGATATGATTAACCAATCAACTTGTTTGAGCACAAAGAGCAAGAAAGAGTTAAGGGCTAACATGTCTTTAAATAATGAATTATAAAATCTTTAATCTTAGTATTCAGAGGTTACAGATCCCCACACCATAAATACATGGTTGATTCACAGAGTGGCCATCAAAAACCCAGAAAGCAAATTATGTTTGACCAAAAGTATACATCAACAGCACATTAACAATATTCCACAGAGCAGGAAAGAACAAACAGAACCAGTTCTCTGTGGAGCTTAGCATGCTTTGCTAATGGAGTAGTCTCCATAAGAGAAGACCATACTCAAAGTATGTTCTTTATATCAAGTTTTGTGCGATCTCTAGTGAAGCGGAGGTGGGGTGGGGGGGATCCGGTGGGATGAAGACTTTTCCTAAGCATTTCCAATGTAATAAAGTACTAAGCTGCTGCAAAATCATCTCCTGGAATTTTCTTGCCTTGAGTGGGGTTTTCACTCTTCTCTCATGAATTCAGGTGAAAGAGAATTACCAAAGTTATCTCAGTAAGAGAATCTAGAATTTCCATCTTTAAGATACTTGTGTATAATGGTGTGCTACATGTCCAGTAATGTGTATCCAGAAAATATGCCAACTTTATGAAACATGGATCTGATGATATAAACAAACCATTTTTTTCTTTTAAAATTATTAATGTCTTTAAATCTAAAATGAAAATCTTGGCCCGATGGTGGTATTTGCGAAGCATTCCCTGCCCTATCTAAGGAGAATCAACCAACCATGATTCTCAACTTGGCTGGAGAGAAAGGCATCGAAGATATGGAATACTATCCTTTATTCCAAGAAATGTTGTTTTATAGTTTGAGAATACAACAGGTCAAAAATGTAACAACTGAACAAACACCAGACCCAAAGACTACAAACATAAGAAAATGCCACACAGATACACCAAGAAGCAATGCTATAATTAATAATAATAATAAACCTATTATCATGATGAGACACTGATAGTTCACTTGGGTATAATACAGAATACATTAGCTAGAAAGAACCATGGGTAAACTTACTATTATTTTTAAAAGGCAGTTTATATTCTAGGTTTATACGACATAAGCTACATGACTCAAAACCACATGTAAGAAAAGAATGCAGGAAGAAGTGAAAACTTGTACCTTTATTTCAGTGTTGTGCTGTCAATACCAATCTTAAAATAATGATGGAAAGGTTACCTGTTTTAAAATATGGGTTTATAGGTTATGGTAAAATATCTTTATAGCTTTAAAATACTATAGTGACTAGCTCCTACCTATCTTTTCTTGGAATGCCTGCCTCAATGTCAAGTCATTAGATTCATTTCTGACCTTTTGAGGACATTTTAATGATGATAATGCCAGGTCAGGGTAAGGGAGAAACACAATTTATCAAAAGACTGAGGGGACAAAAAAATGAAACAGAAAGAAAAAAAGAGTTTGTACTGTTTGTAGCATCCAGTCTGGCAAATGTTACAGATGCTTTCTGTTTGCTTGGGGTAGTTTATTGCTTATGTTATTTCTTTGCTTTCTCTTTTTCCCCATGTGCTTGCCTCTACCAAATTTGGCTGAAAATATTTCGTATGTGTCTGTACTGTAACCCTCATATTTTTCTAGAGATTTAGTGTGGTAGAGAAGCTCCTATTTTTTTTCTTCCTCAAGGGTTAGACACATCAATATTCTAGCTACTCACTTTCGAGGCCAATGGAAAATGTGTTCCTAAGATTAAATAGACCTGAGTAACACATAAATTCAGTTTATACTGATGTTACTCACATTCTGAATTTCTGATCAGTGGAATACACCTGTTGGACAATACAACGCTACTGAATAGTCACTGACATGCAATTCGAAGACAGAGGCAGGACAACACCCTAACTACAGGTTCTCTATGGAGAGCCTAACTCGCATAGAGCATCTTCATCTGTGGAGCTCTGGGTGGAAATGATCCAATCTGGCCATGGAGAGCTGGCTCATAGAGGGTCCCTGAAACATTCTTAGAGAAAACTAGAGCAATACATACTGGCACGGAAGGAGGTCCATTTGTCCTGCAAAATACCATTTCCCTGCACTCCACTTCCTAAACATAGCATTGAAAAAAAATTACCCCAACTATTAATATATAATTCCTACCTTTTCAGACTTCATAAATTCTCACTTAGGAAGAAATCTTCCATTTTTGCTGATAAATCTTTAAAAATTATACACTTCTGAGTCTAGTGTTACATTTGGTTTATGTAGGTTCATCATATTTATCTGGTATCGGTTGGCTTGCAAATTATCATCCTAAATTTGAGTCAAGCAAAGATAGTGTCCCGTCCCCTCAACATACTAGGTCCCCTAGGAAACCTAGCCAAATCTGTGAAATGTCTCTCTAGTAAACCAAATTTCCCTTTGGCTTACAGATATGCTGAAGAATATACACAGAAGAAAAATACTCCTATATATAATGATTATAACTATTTATCTGAATGTTTTTAACATTAACATATTAAAAAGTCGTGATGGCCCTGAAATACTGATGGACTAAACATTACAATGTCTGGGGTTTGCTTCAAAATAACATGGTGGTAGCACTGGAAAATAACAGGTCCTGAGTTAATCACTGTGCAAGCTAGGTGATGGGTACACTGGAGTTCAATGTAGACAGATTAATGTATTTAAATTTTTCATAATAAAAAATTTAAAAATACATACTGATTTGAACTTTCATTTGTTTTCTCATTATTTATTGGTTGATTCATTTACTCTTTATATGCAAGATATTGTGGAAATGTAATAAGTAAAAAAAAAAAAAAGACAAGAAACAAAACAATGCTCTTATTGGACATTTAAGTTAAGTAAGTTATTCCTCTTCAAGAACAATATATATTTATTTTAAATATTTATAAAAACTGTGTAATTACATGTAGAATTCTTAGGTTAAATTTTTAAAGCAGGACACAAAATTATATAGAAAGTATGATTACAGCCTGTTTTAAAAAATATGTCCTCAGGGGAAAATGAGAGTAAGGAAATAAATATATCAAATGGTTATTAATGATTGAATTTAAATTATAGAAATAATTACTTTAATTTTTCTTCATTTTACTCCTATGTGTTTTTCCAAATTATTTTTAATGAGTATGTATCATTTTAAAATGAAAATAAATATTTATTCATTAGTGGGTAAGATGTGCTCTCCTTTCCCAAGGACCTTTTCATCTACTAAAACAGAGAAACTGCAGACACACAGCAGTGCCCTGATAGTTTAAATCTTCATACCTAGAAGGGAAATACACCCACAGGAAAAGAAACGTCAATACAGATTTTATCTGATCATAGAAACATAAAGGCCTTTCTGTGCTGGAAAGAAGCAGGGGAGGGACTGGCTTCTTTGCAAGCCAGAAAGAGTGTGAAATTCAGGCCATTTTGTGATGAGATCATTTTTCAGAGAATGCAATGGCAGCCACAAATTAGTTACCAAATAAGCCTGTTCCCTGAGCTGCTGACGCTCGTTCTGATAGGAGTTTCTCTTTGGGCAGTATAACAAGTAAAGCATGGGAGGGGAATAAGGAGGGGGAGAAAGAGGGAGGGCAAGCTACAATCCTAAAGGCTGTGGACTTCACTGGAGAGATGGGTATGTTCAGAAAGGCAGACAGATGTGCAATAGAATTAGAGACAAAAGTACAGTGACGACTATGGATACGGAAAGTCCTTGTTAGAAAGCTATCTTTATTACTCCAAGAAGTTATTTTCCTCATTTTATGCACATTCATATACAGTGAAGTCAAGAGTGTAACTTTTAAAGGTTTGGATGAGTTTGATGTTCATGACTAAATAGGCCCGCTGGAGCCAGGCAGAATCTTGTCAGATGCCAGGCAAGTCACCCTTCCCGGCTCCTCCCTCCCCCGTGTATTTACCAGTGCACTTCAGTGCAGGCCAGTCTCTAGCAAGCTCAGCTCCTTCAGGCTCTGACTACATGGTCATCAGTCCTGCCCTGCACCCTCCTTCCAGCCACTGAAATCTCAAGAATTCTAGAAGGCCACAATACCAACCTTTTCACAACTCTCACTAAAGACACAAAGACGTCAAAGTTTCAAACTTAGGTTCACTTATAGTCCTGGTCTTGGTCCTTTTACTTAACTGGTAAAGGCAGAGGGAGGGGGTCCCATGTTCCTAAAGGACATGCTCCCCTGCTGTGTGTCAGTGTGCGTAAGAGAAGTCGTATGTTATTTTAAGATTGATCCACATTTCACACCTGTGGCACATCACAGAATAATAATAGGTATTTCAAAGCAGCACAAAACATGTCAGAGGGTTTTGTGTTTGTTTGCTTAGTGCCAAAGCATCTAATGTCCCCATGGGAAACGGCAGCACCAACGTCACCCTAGCACCCTCTCTTGTTCACTTCTTTGTGGCAAAATCGTTCTAAAATTGTTGTCAAATCTGTGATAATAGGTTCTTGGGATCACAATTTCTCACCATTCTAAATGCTGGTATTTCAGATGAATAAACAGGACATGAAATATATACACTTTACTGATGTCAAAATATGTTCTGCTCAAATTTTGTACCAGAGGTGTTGAACTCGCCACGCCTTTAAGTCTGATTCTCTTCGAGGATGGGAGAAACATACTGGCCTTCTTTTCACAGTATTCTGGCCTGTCATTTAGACATAGTGGAAGTTACTCACCAGGCAGCAATGTCACGTGAGGAATATTCAGTTAGTGAGGGCGACACATCCTGAAACGAAAAGAGTACCATAAATGCCAGGTATTTCATAAATGCACGGCAACATGGTGATCACAGAAAAGAACCCATTGACCTTCTGGGACACGAACTTGGTGACAAAGTAAAGGACGCTTCCCTTTGAGAATGAAAATACAACTGCGCACAAGAAACGGCTTCTAGAACTGCCTGAGTGTCTGATTGCAAGGGCTCTAACCGGTTGTGACTGACTTGCTGCCTATTTCTGCAATTCACTGTGACTTGTGTTGAGAAAGTTATGTTTTATGGTTAATTATCCATGGTCTGTTTAAAAAAATAAATCAAACCATTGTGAACCACCGGGATTTGCAGCTCCATTTGAACTTTACTGCACTTTTGGTTAAACGTTTTGTAAATAAAACCAAACTGGTTTTTCCTTGTTTTTGGTTGTTTGTTACTTGTGTTCTGAGTATAAATATTGTGGCAGTGGTTGGAGAACAAGCTATGGATTATTTACCCCTGGTTTCATGAATCGTGAGTTACTGGTCTTATCCTCCTTCAGGAGTATAAGTAAATGTATAGTATTCTATTCCTACTCCTGTAAGACAAATGAAATGAGTGAACTGAAACCTTTTGAAACCAAAACCTTTCATGCTAAGTCACTGAGCAACAAAACAAACCCCAAATTAACATTTAAAAAGCTTCTACTGTGGAGCAACAAAATCCCCAAATATTATATAATCTGCATTTTAAATATTGCCTGCCTAACAAGCAGCAGTCTATCAATAATTCCACATGCTTGTGTTCTCACTGCTTTATATTAGAAGCCATAGGTAGTTTTTACTGGAGATAACCTCCCATCTCCAGTACCACCACCAGAACGAAGCCTTGATAACAACCAGCATAACTAATTGAAGCCAAATTTGATTTAGAAAGATCAGGAATTAGTGTAGCTAAAAGAAATGAAACAGTATATAAAAGAACTCCATATGAAATTTGTTTATAGTCATCATCCTAGGACCTATATATATAAAATAAGTCTAAAATATAAGTGACCAGAGAAAATGAGAAAAGCTAAGATTCAAAGGATCTTGTGGCAGAATGCAAGGGGAGTATATTTTGAGACCCAGAATCTTAAGTACTTAATATATTTGCATGTGAAACTTAGTGAGGATCACCCAAGCAGCTTGCCAAAAATTATGTTTTTTAAATGATCCAATAGTCTATGCAGTGCTGAGGACCTCTAGGAGAAATATAAAACTGCCTTCTGCAATTTGCTATTTTTATAAAGACACAGAAAGTATAATAAGAGTTTTCTTATAAAACGATCTGTCCATTTCTGAAGCTTGAAAAGATCTATATTCTCTTTCATCTTACCCCTTGATTACTCACATGGCTCACTGCTTACCTGCATTAGCACCATGAGGGAACAGACACAGCAGTTTCCCTCACCAGCTCACCAAAATATGGTAAAATATCTGTGAAGCAGCTACTAGGTGCCAGGCACAACTAGAGTGATTCTGTTTGAGAGGGTAAGTTAGTGACTGAGGTTCTTGTTGCAACATTTAAAAGTATCTATTACTACTGCCAACAGCAACTCGAAGCAAGGTTGAAATAGTTGTGAAGGACTTTTGAAAAATTGGAAAATATTTAAAACTCTCCCTAGCTTCTTGTATTCCCAGGAAATAGAAAGTTTAGGCCTGCCAGTCCTTCCTAAGCCTGGATCCCAGATTGCAAAAGAAAAACCACAAGTAGCCTATATGTTCCCAGGGCCATGGTGACAACTGAAAATGAGGGCTGAAATGAATTAGTTGGCATCCATTGGCTATTGAAAGGTCAATTCTGTCCTAAGTATGGTTCAGAGAATATAAAAATCCACCAAGATGAAAATGGAAGCTATTCTGACAAAGGCAGAAAAAAAGAGTTCAAAGATGTTTTACTCAGACATTTTCCTGTATTTCTTTCATAACCAGATGCCTTCACCTATTTTTGACAACCAAGAAGATGCTACTGTATAGAGTTCTAAGTTTTCTTTTAAATCCAGGTAACCTGCCCTGCCTGGTTTATCTCAGTGGTTAAATACAGGTAACCTATTAAAAAATCGAAATATTCTAAATGACTTCCTATATACAGAACTACACACCAAAAATAAGTGCTTGATTACAGATAATTAATCATGTTAAAATTATATTATAAAGAATATATTTTACATGGTTTAGAATTCATTTTGATAACCAGACACATACATACAAAACTGCATATTGGACTCCAAACTTACCATAACCCATGAAGAAGGGAGCCTTAGAAAAGATATACCTGTGAATATGATTTCCAGGTTAAAAACAAGAATATTCTGACCAATTTTCATTATTTTTCCACAAATATATTTTTCTGAGCTATAGATTTTTTAAGTTAGAAAATCAGAGGAAAACTGTATTTATAAAGTACTTAAATGATATACTAGCTTAGTAAATATTCATATTTAAGACAACAAAAGATGTCTCCATGCCATCAGAAATACAGAAAGACCATAATCCCAATGATCATGATCATACAGTTGTTAACAACAGAGAGCCACACATTCAGACAATAAAGCCCAAAACACCAGACCAAACTCTCCTGGCTTTGGTTTTTTTACTTCATACACCAGAGCTTTCCATACAAAAGGAATCCTACATTCTAAAATATAAGAGAAAGTCAAACAAACTAGGGAAGAACCTGACATTTTTTAAAAAGTAAAGGAAAACTCACCCCTTACCTTCAGTAAAACCAAATAAAACAGTTTCATATGACTCTACCACTGAGAAATAACTATGACCTACAGGAATGATACTGCCCCCAAATTCAAGAAGGTGAAGGTCTCAATAGTTCCTACTCAGATCCCTCCTCTCTCCTGTGCACGTTCATCTTTCCTGACTGCATTGAGAACAATCAGAACTACCACCACCACCACTCACACACTGGACCTACCTCTTCTAACAGATACATAATAATGCCTAGTGCTATGCTCTCTATCATTTTGTATCCATTTTATAACCATTTATAGACTGATACTAAAAAAGGAAGAACAAAACAAATCTAAAAAAATCCCAACCTCCCTGAACAGACAAATGCTTGGTTCCCAGAGGACATCAGTCAGTTAAATGAAACAAAATATTGTAACTGGAAGGAAGATGGACCAATCTCATACACATCTCACTGTGTTCCTATTTAAGCTTGGCAGGGAGCTGCTCCAATGAAGAAGCTGGGGGTGTGGGAAAGGAGTGAAGGGCTACAGAGGGAGAGAGGGATAGAAACGTGTATTGTACATTTGGGACTTAAAGGCAGTACAAAGAATTAAATGGTGTTCCTGGGTGTTTCTAGTGTGACAGAAAGTTCAAAATGAGAATTCCAGAAACTAGTTTCTTTGATGGAACTACTAGGGCATGAAGTCTATAGGAAGTTTGAATTAAATGTCTCTGCTGTAGCATCGAGATGTTTTCTCTTTCATTATGAACTTTAGGTTTGAATATACTTTGTCATGAGGAAAAAAAAAACAAACAAAATATCAGAGCTTTGTACAGTCCCCAAAGTAAAAAGTAAAAGGGTTTATATAACTGGATTTTTACACAAATATTACTTCAGGATGCATTTCAAATGAATACACACACACACACACACACACACACACACAGCTGTCTTCCTTATCCTCTTTCTATTTTAAAATTCATTTCATACTTTAAATGTTGTTGAGTTTTCATAAAATAAGTAAAAATTAAGTCAGCATTAAACACCCCAGAAAATTTAAGTCTTATATGACCTGGAAAATGCATGTCGTGGAGGATCACAAGCCCTGTTCTGAAGCCAGTAAGGCACTGGCAATTATGGGATATTTTGCTGCAGCCTAGGGCAACTAGAAATGGCGTGGATATTAACTAACTCCCTTTTCAACAGTCTGAAGAAAGTGGGGGGGGACCTGTAAGTTTCCCCATCTGTTATTTCCTTTTTTTTTTTTCTTTTCACTTTTGGCTGTGGAAAAGTAAAATTATGCAAGAGCGTTTGAATGTAAAGGCTGTGTGTGCTTTTTCCCTTTTTGTCTCTGTGTACCCGTTATGTGATGTTGCGTAACTGAGTACAGAGTAGGCGGCTAGCGTTTACTATTGATTTACACTGTGCCATCTAATGAATTCAGAACACTGAAAAGAAAGGAGTGGGAGTGGGAGGGAGGAAGAAAGAGAAAGAGAAGAACAGGGAGAGAAAAAAAGAGGAACAGTGGGAAGGGAAAAAGAGCTCATTTAGAGAAACAATTCTAATACCTAGAGTAGTTTCATTCATTCCCTTTAGTTCTGACTTTTGGTTATTGTTCAGGTCTCAGAAAAATGGGCTTGAGCAGTGACCCCAATATTCAAATCTTATATGTAATGAGGATTACTGGGAGGTGAACGTCTGAAAGTACTAATGTGCCAAATTACTTGATAGCAATTCCACTAAACTGTCAGACTTCTCCACATGTACCTATTTGTCATTCTCTCTGCATTTATAAATCTGTACCTGTGAGAGCCAATGCTATGGTCCAACTAGTTTACCAAGTCACAATTATTATTTTGCAAGGCACACATCAGGGCAAACAGCATTATATTCTATTTTACCCATCTCCTTTAAAAATGCACAAAGAATGCATTTAGAAATCTTTGCAAAGGTCACTATTTTACCTTGGAAGAAGAAATGCCACAAATTATTTGGTTAAACACAACAGCCTGACATAAGATAAAGAAAGAGAAATGGCAAAATGAGGAAAGGCTCTAAGCTGATAAACAATGCTTGTAAAAGAAATTTAACTTCTTAAATTATGCCTATGGAGAACACCTAAATGCTAACTTTTGATCTGGATGATTATAGACATTCTCAGTTCTCCATGGCTGCTCAGTGCTTCCCATGCCACGCAACCAGTTCCCACAGCTTAGGCCAGAAAGTAGGGGTGACCTTGACTCTGCTAGGCACAGGGCCTTCCTGTACCTGAGTGGCCTCCTATGGCTGAAAACAACCACCGAGGTGAG